TTCCATTATCCGAAAGACGTTGGAATAATAGCGTAAGGTGTTGATAATGTTCATCTACGTTTGATGATGCGATCAGCAGGTCATCAATATAGACGTGAACAAAATCCAAGTCTCGTACTATGCTATCGATAAACCTTTGGAAAGTTTGAGCAGCATTCCGTAATCCAAATGGCATTCGTAGGAACTCAAACAGACCGAAAGGAGTCGTGATAGCAGTTTTCTCGATGTCTTCAAGAGCGACTGGGATCTGGTGATATGCTCGTACCAGATCGATTTTAGAAAAGATAGTCGTGCCCTTGAGCGATGCCGTGATGTCGTGTATGTGGGGGATGGGGTAGCTATCAAAGCGTGTAACTACGTTTAATGCTCGGTAGTCGCCGCATGGTCTCCAACTAACCCCATCCTTTTTGCGCACCATGTGTAAAGGAGAGGCCCAAGGACTGTGAGAAGGACGAAGAATACCAGCAGATAGCAAATTGTCAAACTCACGTTTAGCGAAGGCTAATTTGTCCGGTGCCAGTCGGCGTGGTCTTGCCGTGACTGGTGGTCCGCGGGTGACTATGTGGTGTACCACACGATTGGTCACCGATGAAATCTCCTCGAGTGGTTTAGTTATTCTGGGGAATTTCTCGAATAAGGCATGGAATTTATCGTCACGCGAATAAAAAGTGCCGAGGATTCGGTACGCGTACATCGGAGTCTATTATATTAATACTATTCTTATCGTTATCCGTCATGTCAAATATATATATTAAAAATTAATATGAAAATATATGACAGACGTGGATAGATAAAACAATAGACTCACCGAATTGCCTTCTTTGAAAGATTTGACCGAGGTTGAGGCGTGTTCCAATATTTGGCTCACCAAATGTAGCGTGGTGTCGAGTTGCGATTTAATATGAACACCGCTACCAGACTACTTGCCAATAGACCAATAAAATTCCGGTAGGCCAAAATATCAGAAGGCAGATGATTGTAGTAGTCGTATATATTTGTTGGCAATCTCGTGGTATCGAAAGAATACCGAGATCGTGCCAAAGGAGTACAAGTGTGGTTACTGAGCGTAACCGGATTCGTACAAGTTCGAAGTCAACGGGATAGTAAGTATAATGGCTGTCATTAGCACAGTTAAACAAACGAGCACAGTAAAACAGTCACTGGTACAATTGGTTATAATAATAATTGTTTTCATCGAACCAATCGTGTTCTGTTGACAAAAGTAGGTCACTACAAAGTTTTGAAAAATTTCCCTCGACTAATGAAACTTACAGACCTCAGTTACTTGGTGATTATATCGTAACCTAGTGGGACATTCATTTACTTACTTACGCCTGTTACTCCCAATGGAGCATAGGCCGCCGACCAGCATTCTCCAACCCACTCTGTCCTGGGCCTTCTTTTCAAGTTCCATCCAATTCTTGTTCATTTTTCTCATATCTATCTCCATTTCTCGGCGTAATGTATTCTTTGGTCTTCCTTCGACCTTGAGGGTTCCATATGAGGGCTTGTCTTGTGACGCAGTTCGGTGCTTTCCTCAATGTGTGTCCTATCCACTTCCAGCGCTTCTTCCTGATTTCTTCCTCCACTGGGATCTGATTTGTTCTCTCCCACAGTAGGTTGTTGCTAATAGTGTCCGGCCAACGGATCCGAAGTATTTTGCGTAGACGTGGGACATTCAGCTGCCATGTAAAATGATAGGATCAATACAGTTGTTGCTGCTACAACATGTGCTTGTTTGGTTGTCTTTCCGATCCAAGTGACTTTCACCCTTCTAGAGAATTTTTTAATGACCAGAAAACCACGAGCATGCATAAAATTTGTTTTGACAAATGTGTGGTGAGTTCGTAAACTTTTAAAATACCTCATGCTGCATAATACATGCATGTAACATTTGCACTGTCAGGACATAATGTAATCCTGTCCTTGGATTTCATGTCGAGTTAACTGTCATAACCAGGCAGGGTGCAAAACTGAAAATCAAATACTTTATGAAACGGTCAGACTTAATATTCATTGCTGCAAATGTTGGGTGTAAGAAGTTGTCTTGTATCACTACATAACATTGTTCATAAAGATGAATGAATAAATTTAACCTGTGCATCGTTGAATGATGACTCCAGCAGTGATGGAAATTGGGGTAGGCTATTATATGATCACTTTGTACACAAGGTTTCTGATATAACGTGATAAGAATGCCACTATATCAATCAATATTTTATCTATTAACTCATTATAAATTTCGGTCAAGGTGATAGGTGTGAACTTGGTTCAATGTGACGTCTCAAAATCAATAGCTCCCTTCATAAGCCATGTTCAACATGACAAATGTGACCACTTATTCTGTGTGACAATTATATTATATTAAGGAGAGCCATATATAGTGTGTGCTTTTATATTAACTCTATGTATTCTTTGATGTATATGACATTGCTGTGCAAAACTTAGTACATAAATGATTGAAAATTTGGCCGTTACCCCTGTTTATTCTTTTGTTCCAAACCCCAAGACCCCTAAGTCTGCTGGCAGTGATAACCTGGACCCTGAAAAACTAGTTCACTCAGCTGCGAAAGTGATGCACAACCCCAAGCCTACTTACAATCAAGCAAGGGCGTAAAATACTTTCACGTTTAACAATATTGCAGGGCCCATGGCAATCTCTCAACCAATCAAGATATGATATGAACCTGGGATCTCATATTTTGTTAAGAAATGTGACTCAATTGAGAATAGCAATATACCTCAATTTGTGAGGCGTCAAGGTTTTTGGCCACAAAATATGCGGTAACAGTTCACGGGTTCCCTAAAAAAAATCTTTTCATGTTCGGCTGTCTCATGATATAGACCAATAAGGGTACGTTTTGGATAGACTTAATATGACCGACTCACAATCAAACCACGTCTCAAGACTTTCCAGACTAGTACACTCCAAAATCACTACTTGAGTTAATCTAGGTGACACTAGACTCGCCTGATGTAGTAAAAGCCACCTTTTTGTATTAGTATGATGAACCTCACAATTCAAAAGTGATTGAGACATGTGAGCGCAATCCCAAACTAGCCAGACAACTAAGTAGACATGATACGAGCTACTCCAGACATCCGTACTTGATTATTGGGCAACTCATTAGCAAGCACCACGACTTAAACTTTTACTCAACCCCTTCTGGTGACTTGAACATGAATGTGAGAACTCTGACATGGCAATCAAATTCTACTATTCAAAAAAAAAAAGAAGCCAGACTATTGAACTCTGGTTTGCTAAATGGTAATACCTCTCTCAATATTATACAGACTGTATCCGTTTCACTCAAAAACTAAACCTCTCCTACTTACTTTTTATGGATTAACTTAAGTGTTACCAAGAAAAATATCATCAGTGAAACCTCCTAACGAGTTCTAGTGATAAATAGGATGTTGTGGATGGTGGGGTTATACTTTAATAATCGAACTCCTTCAAAGTGTACGAAAATTCATCATCCGGGTGACTAAAAATGTTATGTGAAGAGTGCTCGTGGCTCTTATCTGACTGGTGTATTCCATAAACCTCCTTATTTCTTCAAGGTAACAGAGAAGCTCTAAAATGAATTTTCTCAGACCTTTTTGATTGAGGAGTCAATTGATAGTGGTCATAGGTTTTCATACAACTTTGTGAAGAGACTGCACAAAACGCCGAGTATCATATATAGAAACTCTTTCAAATTACACAGCTCCAGCATCGCGCCCACTAGGCTGCCAACTGGGAAATTCCGATTAATCCCAGTCTGTTATATTGTAGGATTATGGTCTAGTTTGGTATAAATACACTTATCTTTGTTATCATTATGATAGACCTGATCCCAAAATTGTAGATTTTTCATTACGTGACTACTACTAGTTACGAAGATCATGAGGCGAATCTCAAGCGAATCCCTATATAAACATCTACTCAGCAAATCGTTAGTTTCCGACTCGTAACATTGTTCGCTTTCGGTTATATTATGTAAAACAAGCCCATTGGCGACAGAGAGCAGCTGAACTCTAGTAAATGAACACCAATTATACACACATAAGCCTCAAGGTACTCGAATGTGTTGATAAACTAATTCACTGCTTATAGAGACCACAAGCCTTCAACGTCCAATTTACTTTCTTTGATTGGTACTCCATGTTGTGTGCTAGTGATCTTGAGGTTAACCCTCGACCTCGATCGCGTCCTGACTCTCCATGAAGACTTGTAGATCACATGTATTGGTGGTCGGTCTAATATAGTTGAGTGAGAACGACCTAACCTTCTAGCCTATTTTCAACTCACACGTATTGGTTGATACCTTGCTCGAATTGCCCTATCATGATAGTCATGTATTGTGGCCACTTTAGTAACAGCATAGAAGAGATAGGATCTTACAAAAACAATACCATGTACAACATCAACAAATTAGAGAAGTACAGGGTAATGAAACAACCGCATGGACTAGTTCATGGAGTGTTATTGATCGTTCCATGTTAGTTATCCTTGCACTTGCCTAAGTTCAGTCACATAACTTGGTTACAAGAAAATGTTTGGTTAAAAGAATGATTTGTCGCAAATTCAATAACTTCATCCCTATTAAGATTGGGTGATCAGTCAATGAAAAAGTCTCATCTAATTAAGATAGATGATACTAATTTTAACAAGGATTTCAGTAATTGCTTTAGTTCTATGTGTATTTGCCAATCCCTCATAAAACCTAATGCATAAAAATGAAGATAAGTCAAAAACAATAGTCATAAATACGAAATCATTTACTTATTCATGCGCATTGCCAAGATGAGTAGACATCACAAATGATACACAGTAAAATACGTTTTCAATATTATTTAAACAAATACATAGTGTTTGTTATTAAATAAGGCAAGAGATTTTTGTGGAATAGATGGAGAAATCAGAATAGTCCATAGAATGCCACTTATACAGAATATTAGCTTCAAATGAACCCATTTCACACGTACACATTGTAAGTTGAAAATGATTACAAATGTTAAGTTGAAGAAGAATTAAGCTCATGATGTGTGTATAAACTAGCTATTGTTTTTGAAAAATAATTTCGAGCTTTATTACGTGATAGTTTCATTGTTGGAGTCAATAGGCCATTGTCTACCGTAAACACCTCATCGGTCAAGTAAATTGCCTGGACCTGTCAGTGCAAAAATTTCGAAAACATAAATCAGACATAATTACTTCAGACTATACGAAAAGATATTTCAGTACATTGTTTGTATAATATACAGTAGAAAAAAGCACCAAGTATTTTTATCTGATAAATGATTTGGATCTCTATTTGAAATGACAGAAAACACATTAATAGCTCCAGTAGATGCCTTACGTGGTGATGCGTTTCCTTTTTTCCAGAAAGATCACTCCAATACAAAGTAGCCACCGATTATGAACGGCGAAAACACTTCAATAATAAAACCGAATGACTCAGATACACTACCGAAAGAGATTACCTTCTTAAAATAAATCCAGAACAACTTTTTTTGCCGTCAATCATAAAAGTTACTTTAAGCATTAGGCACAAAATCTACGAGTTTTTCAACGCATATAGATATATTAAACACTTAGTAAGTATGAAAAATCAGAAAGAAAAACACAAGTAGTGTTCTTTCTGAAGCAACGGTTTCAACTGAATAACCCTGAACAAAGATGTTTAAGAAGCAAACACAATTGTTGTAACTTGATAAAAATCAAACAAGACAACATTATTGGCTTTACTTATCGCTAACAGTGTTGTCTTAACTTAACACAGTGGAACAATATGATATTCAAAAACTTGGATTGAGTCGCAAAGTCTAATCAGTTTCTGAGAATATGTATCAGCACTCTGATAGGGCTGGATCATCAACGTTACGGTTACGTGATTATGGCTTGAAATATTTTTGGGAACTTCATTAAACCATAATGCCTTTCAATTCACTAATCAATTCATGCAACCAAATCGCATTTCTTTGTGTGCTATCAGTTTGTACTTTAACGACAGCATTACTTTCGTTGAATCTATTTTTGTTATGGAGTGTATACAATCACCATTAACGGTGTACTGTAAAGTCAATACATCATGATTTATCCATCCTTCATAAATTTCGTTACTTCGTATTATTGGCAATTTAGTTTAAAATGTTCATTTTGAAGCAACTTACAAATCATGTCTTTTAAGAAAGTGTAAACTTAATTTTTTTAATTATTATTATCACCTAGCAATTTGTATCAATTTGATTATTATATAATTAACATGGAAAACATCACTTTAAACCGGTGGGATGATTGAATATATATACCGAGAGTATATCTGAACCTATTGAACAAACAAAAATTATTTAGTAAGCATAGAGAAATATTAGTTCTATGCATATGATGCCATTAACCTTTAAAACTTTACACTAATGTTTAGATAAGTAAAAATTAAAGTACTTTTCAATGACGAAATCACCTCATTCTAAATGATGAAAACGTAATCATGAAAGTAACAAAAAAGTAAACATTTTGTACAACAAAACAGTGTGAAATAAACTAATGGCTAAGGTTATTTATAGTTCAAGAATAAAAGATAATTAATCACATTGAAAACTAAAAATAAATATAAACAATTCTTATTTAATAATATGGTTGTTTTTAATTAGTATCATTACATATCTTTATGCTAAATGGTTGTCACATAATGGTACAAGAAACTTAAACAAAGCATGGCTCTAAAGTATTAAACATAAGTAAACATTAATAGTCTACGTGTTTAATTATTAATAATAAACTATTTATTGTTAAGATAATCAGGAATAATTAACAATATCCTGTTTAGTAATTTGTTTTAAAACTTCATCTGTTATGAAAATAGACTGATAAACTTTCTTTTTATATATAGAAATGTCTTTCGTTTGCAATTATTTGTGCTCAGATTGTTTTTTTTTTTTTTGTTTGACTAACAAGAAAATGGTTAGATTATGTGGGAGTTTAATTAGTATACGGAAAACAATATCACCACTGACCTTGGAAATTTTGTTTTGATCAAGTAAACTAAACTAGGAAGTAAATTTAAACTATGGTGTCGCCTGATTATAGAAGAAACAAAAACAAACACTGAAATCTGAATGTAACAAAAGAACGAAAATAGTAATTTTTTGTATAAAACAACAATCTGTTTGGTTAAAGAATAAAAGGAAGTTTTTGTAGATTGTTGAATTTCGTAGTTTACATTATGAACTGATCTTGGTTAAATAACCGATGAAAAACATAAAGCGTTGGACAACTAATTTCTACCTAGTATGAGACCGTTCGACAGTGAGTATCCACAATTTCAGTGGAGATCGAACTCATAAATTACAGCAATTGCTGAGTTGGTATCTATAGGTTTACATTTCTAACTTCAATTAATTAGTGAAACCACGTAAGAACTCAATATAAAGTCATTAGTAAATTGTATAACGTTAACGAGCACTGGATAGCATATATCTCCTCAAGTTTAAATGTATTATAATACAAAAATTCAAAGTGACAAAAAACATCATTAAAACTATGGTTGTAGAGTATTGACAGTTATGATTTTCCAACATTTACATGACCAAAGAAGGAAGTTCATAATTTTAGATACAGTTAGTTCCGTTGATTACTAATTCTACAAATCAACATTGTTTCAACTCTATTTATTTATTCAATAAGGTCAGTATTACCCATTTTGATGAGGTGTAAATTCACATGAGTGAGTTACTTCGACTAAAGAAAATTCACAATCTCATTGACTAATCTGCTTATTTGTGATTTAACTCGAGGTCAGTTATACATCATAAATACTAATTCTTTGTCGACTGGCACAAAACATATATAAATAAGAACAGGATTGAGTATTTAAATTACGATTACAATTTTTAAATCATTCGTTACAAACCTTTTCAAAACCCTTCAACAGTTTTTGTGTCGCTACAACATTCATTTTTTCCAAAACAAATTTATTGACAGTTTCATTTCGACAAAGTTCAGAATCCAAAAGTTTTTTATGATGCTGTAATACCTTACCATTTCTTAGAGCGGAACGCAATTCAGTAAAATCTGGAACTACTATCGCAACTGGGTAATTTTTTTGACTGTTACCATCCACAAATATTTGACTGATTAATTTGCAACATTGATAAGCCATTTCTATTTTTTCAGGTGCAATATATTCACCTTGAGCTAATTTGAATATACTCTTTACACGGTCCACAATTTTGAGTGAACCTTCCTGTTATAAAATGAATAAATACATGTTTATGTTAATGAAGTAAATGGCTGAAGTAATTTTAGATAGATTCTGTTAATTTATGATTTCAGATTAGCCAAATTAATGCGAGGATCTATCGCTTACTTTTTGACAGAAAACAGATCATAATTCAACATGAATGTTTAAATTCTATAATATGTCAGAAAAATTTGCTTCTAAGTATTTAAAAATTCTTAAACATCAGTCAAGAAATCACTTACACAGGAAAGTAGTTAGCAAATTAAACTCAATGACTACATAAGTTATTGAAAATTCGTAGCTTCATCTCTTTAGTTAACTACTGAAGGATGAAATAGACATGAACTTTGAATATTTTAACTGGTAAAATTTTAAAATGAAACCAAATTAGGACCGTTAACAAACGAAGCTAAAGGTACAAAACGTCGTCATCAAGTGAAAGGTGAAAAATAATCCTTTGATTACCATACCCGGCAGGAATCCAGTATACTGATGATTTCAATATAACACAGAATTCTAAGGACTGTCTTCAAAAGAAAATAAATTTCAATTAGTGTTGACAGGCACTGTGATAAATATGGCAAGTAACTTTTCTGAAAAGCGATTTCTCATTTCATTTGGCTAATTGTTAATAATCTCAGCAAATATCCATTGGTAAAGTCTCTAAAAACTATTTATTCAATCAGCACTGAATAGAAACCCTTCAAACACATCTAAAAAAATGTAGGATTATGTTTCACATTTTGATTGGATAATTACTTATAACAGAAATAGTATATTCATAAAATCTTAATAAGTAGAAAATTACATTTCTGACGTTTCGTGACTTGGTGTAAGTCACTTTTGAGAGAACATAACCATCCTTTTTTTCAGTGTTCAAATAAACGTGCAATAAACTAGCGTTTATGAGCAGTGCATATAAGAGTAGAATTTACATTTGTGGTTTTAATTTAAATCATTTAAAACTATTTGTATGCACATCTCACATCACTAACAACCACATAAATATTTTTAGACTTATTCTTCAACAATACAAATATCAAATTTTTTTACATCCATATATACATACACTTGAATACACGCAAATAAATCTCATGTTGACTGAATTGATCAGATCTATTTCAATCTGAATTGAGCTAAAAGTATGCTGTTTTGTTTTTTGTACTATTGAATTCGGTTATTTATTTCTTTACTGAAAAATTGATTTACACTAAGTTACAAAACGTTACTGATGTTGATACTATGTTTATTGTGCTTCCAGAAGTTTCTAGAGGAACAAAATTATCTGAAAACCTTTAAACGAATTCGATTTTCTGTACACAGGTTAGCATAAAAGTAGAGCTTTTACTCATACTTCACACTTGCCCGAGTTCAAGTGTCGAAGTACGCTAAGGATACTGGGAGCGTCTAGGGAGTAAATAAATAAGTGCTAAATGAGAAGACTTATCACTAATCTAAGCATTAAACACATAGAGTAAATAGGTAAGTGTCCCCAAATTTATGATAATCCAATTTGTAACTTAATTAATAAAATGTCTTATATAAAGTAACTTTCATAAATTTACGATGAACAATATATTCAGCTTCATTATTCCATATAACAAAGGATGATATTGGTTAATAAATAAACGGACAAAGATATATCAAAAAGTATTTTTAGACTTACTTCAGTCCATTCACCAATATCCCCAGTATGAATCCAACCATCACTATCAATAAGTTCGGCAGTTTTTACCGGATCCTTGTAATAACCTTTGCTGCACTGATCGCCTCTGGCACATACCTAAAACGCAAATTATGACGTAACTGTGTTTTTCTTAGTTTAGCACGAATAGACTTTTTTTAAAGTTGAATTTCGGTTTACATTTCCGCAAGAACCTCCAACTATTGAAGCGCCACAAATCACCAGACACGAAATACTTACCTGCGGCTCTTTTTTCACCATTTATGTATTCTATACTTTGATCATTGTAATTGTCATATATGTGGATTTATGACTGTAAAATCTCTGGTGATGAAGTCATTCAAATAAAAATATTGTTCGCCCAAATATTCTTTGTTTACAAATCTTTTAACTGTTGTTTAGTATTCTAATTGTAAATTGATGTACGTTATTATTATTATTATTATTATTATTATTATTATTATTTTCATGCCGTAATGCTATTGCAGCCACTGTTCATCTAAAATTATGAGTGGGTTGATAGCTAGCCTTGATCCTAGCTTGGTTTGATATTTAGTTTCAACAATAAAGATAACCAGTTCCCTGACATCGATCCATTTAGGAGAACGAATTTGTTGGCCACTGAGACGTAAGATAGGATTGGCGCAGCACGGGGATTATTAGAGCCCAAATAAGTACTCCAAAAGGAGAAGCAGTTTTGAATACAACTACTCCAGCGGAGGCTGATCACGATATGCTCAATCTGAGTCCAGGCTTCAGATGTAGACGAAGGACGCCAGGTAGCACATCGTCGACGAATTCCGATAGTTAATGCTAGTCAAAAACAGGATATAGTGCCGCGAAGTTGCAGCAGACGGTCATTGTTCTCTGTCCTGAAACCAGAAAGTCTCCATCGGCCACCTAGATGACTCTCTTCTCTCCCTAGACGCCCAACCTGAGCATTCAAGTTTCTATAACATCAGTCGAGCACTTAGTGGCAAAATTCATTATTGATCGCATCCGGGTTGCAATCTGTTGGAGCGTGGGCAAGGATGACGGAGAGCCAAAAACCAAACGAGCTTTCCGAATCCATTCGAAGATATCACCGGATACCAACCCATTAGGGCTGATCAGACTTCCAAGATAAGTGAAGTTGTCGATGCGTTCGACTGCGTTACTCACTATCCTTAGTTCAAGTGTTGACGCAGACCAGTCCTGAAGCAACAATTTACATTTAGAGGGGGAGAAACATATCTCAAATATCCTGGCATTGTTGCTCAGTGCAACCAGTAGACTCTGCATTTAATCAGCGTCTTCGACAGACAGGACTATGTCATCTGTGTATTCTAAGTCGATAAGTGGACATTCTGGAAAGCGATTAATTCATGAAAATTCAGTCGACGAGAACGATATTTCCATCAGTAGATCTATGATGGAATTGAATAAAAATGGAAATAGTGGACAGTTATGCCGGACATCACTTAAGGTTGCAAAATCAGATGACAGTTCGCCATAAGCTCTGACCCGACTAGTAGTGTTCGAGTAAAGAGCCTTCATAAGGTTTATCTACTTCTGAGGTACACCTTTCATTGACAAACACTGCCACAGAGCCTCTCGGTCTACAGAGTCAAATGCAGATTTTAAGTCAAGAGAAACTATCGTCGTCGGACGCCGATAAACATGTCTGTGTTCCAGGACCTGATGAATGGTGGATATGTGGTCAATGCAGCCACGACCAGGTCTGAATCCAGCCTGATTTTCTCGTGTTTGCAGTTTACGAGTATCTGTTAAGCGCCCGATAATTATTGAGGCTAGTATTTTAGATGCTATGATGGTCAAACTAGCCCCTCTATGGTTATCATAGGATAATTTTGACCCTTTGGCTCAAGTCATTATTAGATGTCGCTGCTGTTTCCACAGCTGTTTGCATATCTTTCCAAGAAACATCTGGGTCGGCTTCGTTTTCAGAATTACCTAAGTGTGATCTCAGTTGTTCCTGGAATCCACTTTCGGCTTTCTCGTCACTCAGTTCAATTCTAGTGGGCCTTCTTAATGTGGCTTTTCTACGTCCAGTGAGGCGTAAGCAATTGTGTGCTCGTATTAGGGCATGATCAGAGTCTGAACATGTATTCCAGAACGAGTGGTAGCCTTCTATCGAGCCTCTCTAACAGTGACTGGTGGCAATATGATCTATTTGAGTCCATCGTTGGTTTGGTGCAGGGGGTCGCCATGTTAGACGATGTCTCTCCTTATGCTTAAAATTTGTGTTTGCTAAAAATAAACGATTGTCTGAGCACAGTTGCAGCAGACGATCACCATTATCTGTTCGCTGAGTCGGAATACCAAAATACCCACCTAAATGTCTTTCTGTTTGGTTTAAGCTATCTACTTGGGTATGTAAGTCACCTGCTACAAGTACTATGTCTGAGCGTTTAGCTTTCTGAAGAAGTTCAGAAATCTTTCTGTAACAGCCATCTTTAACTTCATCCGAACTGCAGTCAGTGGGAGCGTAGGTAGAAATGACCAAAAGGCAACGACGTGTGTCCATATCTTTCTGAATTCTTACTGAGCCGTTTAGTCGAACACCGCATAGGCGACTGTTAATAGTGCTTATTCTGCCTTCGTACTTATTATTATGCAGACACCTACCAGTCCACGAGAACTAGACACCAGGTCGCCAGATACACGGAGGGTGTATCTCGTCGGCTCTCCGTTTTGGCGAGGTGAGGTCAAGTGAGCGATCACGCTAGGATCCTGTGTGCGGTTTTAGGGACACTTCCTGGCAGTCCACACAGTGGAAGGGTTCTTCTAGAGGTACTTGAGAAGGAAATCGGGTTAGAGGTGGTCTTAGTGACCTGAGAGCGTGACCACAGTGCCCAAGGGACAACTGCTTGAGGTCGGTCATACAAGACGTTTCTGTAAGGAATCTTCGTGTTAGCTCTGTATTTGTTGAGACCTTATCGCCGGAGACGGATATCCGTGGGATAGGGCGAGATGCGCGTTTTTAGTGTTAGCCCTTTCTAACCCCATCCTTTCTTTGTGGGAAGGCAGCATCGCTGTTATGCTGGTTGTCTGAGGGAGACACCCTACTGCCATCACACCACTGTACAGTCAGCAGTACGACTTCACCCTCGGATCTTGGGTTCGCTGCTTTTAGTCTTACCCCACTTCAACCGATATACCTGGCATGGTAGGACCTTGAGGAACGATTGTCCCAGTCATCATCATCACGGTAAACAAGCCCGACCACCACTTCAGGGTAGCAGCAACGGTCAGTTGAAGCACAGAGATACACAAAATGGAAATAAAGGAATAGACAAGTGATGCAATGTAAAATATAGACGAATGTTACCAAATAACTGTGGATACAGTTTGTGAGGGTGCAAGTTGGAGCAAGAGTAGTTATTTCAGGCCTGGTCATTTAATTCATATGTGAGCTAGGGTGCTCAAACAGAACCAGCTAGTTTTCTTGGGCAGCCACCACTCCTCGAGCCTTTGACCTAGAGGTCTATTCCACAAAGCAATGAGGTAACATTAGGAGACGCAGTTTAATGGTAGCCAGTGACCAACAATAGGTTCATACGCCATTTTCCCTTCAAGATCCTGAAGCCCATGTCCATTATTGTTTTAGAATCAGGGTTTTCCAACACCCCTACGTAGATCATCCGAACCCATTAAACCGTTCTCTCAATTTCGTAAACAACATCCCCACCGCGAGAATGCAGTGGGTATATACGGTTGGCCATATGAGAGTATTTTGATACACTTTGGTCGTTGTGATCGTCATGATTATGAATTTATAACTGTAAATGCTCTGGTGATGAAGTTATTCAAATAAAAATTTGCTCGCCCAAGTATTCCCAATTAAGCAGAATATGTCAATGAACTTTATTATTCAATACTTTTTTTAAATCTTACTTCACCCCTTCCATCACGTAATACAACCAAATCCAAATCTGGGACATCAACAAGTTTCAGTTCCATACCATAAATAACACCACCGACAGTACCTAAACGGTACTCTCCGACCAGTGACAAAGTGATGCCTCCCATTGTTTCGGTTGTTCCATACCCTTCAAAAGCCTTTTACATAGAAAAATATTAATAGATGTCCCAAAATTATTATGGTAAAATCAGAAATAATGTATAAGAGTAACGTTATTTTTTAACTAAAAGAGTGTTGCATTACATCAATGATCATAAAATATGTATTACACCTGAATAAAAACCAACACATGCCATAATTATCTTTACGTAAAGAATCGTGACGTTCAATGGTGTTTTCTATATGACTATTAAACGCCAATGTCCCATCTATCCATAATTCACAATTTTACTAGTTTTCCTCAGTAAGGCACTGATTAAAGCAATTAACTTATTATGTTCAGAATACATAAAAAGATATCCCACTATAAACCACAAGTGTTGAATTCACTAAAATATGACATTAGTTTGATAGTTCATGCAGATAACAAAGGTGTCAAACATAACATTCATTCAATATAAGTAACCTTTGATTTATGATAGATAAATGTAGAAAAAACAGTCGATGAAGTGAGAGGAAGAAGAAATAAGACAACTTCCAATTAATTATCCAAGGGGGTAAAGTAGAGACATATCATTTGATATTCTTGAAAATTGCTAATCTGGTCTGAAATAAAGCAGAATCCAACCTACCATGTTGAATGCCGCATGTACAAACTTTGAGAGTTCTGGTGACAATGGGGCACTCCCGCTAACTACACAACACACACGTCCGCCAAATTTCTTTCTAAGTTTACCAAACAACATTGTGTCCACAATGCTTCGATGATGAAATTTTCCACTAGGATTAAAAGGAAATAATCGATTACTACTTACAAATTTATCAACAGTAAAAAGTTTTAGTTTTGCAAGATTTGCTGTTGGGAATAAATAACCCTATCATGCTAGAATCAAAATGAATATTTACAGATACAGTAAATTATTACGATTTTATGTTGGATTGTAAACTAACGTCAAGAAGTCGACTATAACTCGATGGGGAACTCTTAATTTTTTGCAAATAATGAAACTCAAGATTATCCCTATCTTAAGTATGATTTTCTTGTTTGATGAAGCAAACATTTGATAACTCAAAGTTAACCGGATAGAAATTTTAGAAAGTGGATGATACACAGTAACCACATCAAACTGTGAGGCAGTACGTAATACCAAAATCAGACCGAGTGAATTTCAAGTCTTTCATTTTATGAAGCAATAGTGACAGTGATTGTTGACAATATTGCAAAGTTATCATTGATTCGAAACACCTATATAGGAACACCTTGGAATTTATTACTTACTGAAACAGCTAATTTAACACATGGAAATAGCGGGTGATAGTAAATAGCTTCACTCTTTCCTATTAGATGTGTGATTAGTAAAAACATTTTACGTAACTCGATAAATCATCAATTCTGCAACAGATTGACAACAACACAGATAATAAACATTCTATGCATTGAAAAATGTGAGATGAAATATTCCAGTCAAAGTAGAAAAGAGATTATTGATTTGAGCAATTCATTAGGTGAGTATTCAATTGCTAGACAAAAAATCTAAATATCTTAATATAAAATGATTGAAAATCAACTTTATTATTGTACTTATTTAAATCGCACCAAAGTACAGAAGCATCTATTTGACGTTAGGCGACTGACAGTCAGTCGAAGGCCGAATAGTTCAGTGGTAACATATCAGACTAAGTGGTCTGGGTTCGAACTCCACCAGGGATATCGGTCACCTCAACGTTACACGTACGCCTTGTTAACGAGCGCCACGTGGTACGAAACCTAGGTCCAGTATTTAGTTCCTATGATCTTCAAACATAGTGTATGTGGTGTCGATTTACTTAGACTGATGATCACGTTGCAACTTACTCGATAAAATTCGATCAGCATTAGAGACTAGACAAATATGACAACGATCCATTCTTGGTGAAGAATCATTGTAAACATTTAACTGAATTATAGAAATAATGGACTATTCAAATATTTTTGGAGAATATTTATAAACGAATAACCTAGTTTATTGATAATGTTCACCGTTGAACGTTTTTGTTCGTCATTCGTTTTTTTAATGATGTTATTTGAAGTAAAACTTATTCAAGTCATTGAAAATTTACGATGATAAATTTTAGTAAAAATAATATATTTATAATATCTCAATGAGTAGAAAAATTAAATGTTTAAAATTTTCTGACATTTCATGATTCAATGTACGCTACCTCTTCAGGGAACTATCTTTTTTTGTTGTTTATAACAATCTACCAAATGCTCTATCTATTTCAAACTATCATCAAGTCAAACCTACAAAATTATTTAAATGGTACTAAGAGAAAACTGAAAATATGCGAAAGTGAATTCTATTTGTTTTGTCTTTTTTTTTTTTTAAAATTATTTCACTCATAGTTAATTTAAAGCATATTTATAAGTTTGTTTATTAGTCGATATTAATTTAAAAGAAAATAGTTAAGATTATAACTAGGTCAGTTTTCACTCTCTATCTATCTATCTATCTTTAGTTACACAGAAAGAACACACTTGGACAACTCCATACAATCGGTATTAGTTTGATCAATTTTGTAAAAATTTAAATGAGTATAACCATGTTTTAACAATTCTAAATATTTTAGGGTATTGATTTTCTAATATATCTTTGAAAAACAAGAAAATATACCGTTTTTGTTCAGCTAATTTTTTCTTCACAATGTAATTATAAAGTTGCTTTTTCATTACAGAATCACCCAATGCACTTTGATATTTTGTGTACAAACGAGAAAGTACACGTGGAACTACAACCAGTGAAGTTGGTCTCAAAATATGAGCATCATCCAGTAGACCATCAATAGATTCTGTTAGAAATCCCGAACAAGCTCCCATAAGAATATGAGAAGACTAAAAAAAATAAATCAGACAATCAATTAACAAGAAAATAATGTTGATAAAATTGACTACCCGAAAAAGATAATTAAAAGTCATTGATTTCTTTCAGTATGGTTTACTTGGATTTTTTCAAAATCATGTAATAATAACTCCAAAAGGTCTAGGAGTAAAGCTTTACAAAACATGAACATGAGAGTTATAATATTCATTTTGCATCAGATAATCGTTGTTACATAATTAGTTAACTTTGGTCGGTAGTGTCATGATAAGTGATGAAGAATGTTTGATTCAAAATGATACAGGGTTAATTGTCCTCAAACGATACAGAATACGACTCATCAGGAATTAGACTAAATACAACAAGAGACATCCTGGTAGGTGGTCTATGCTCCTCCACGAGGGATAACAGAAGTAAGTAAATACCAAGATACAATATTACATATTTCATAAAGGTTGCGATTCAAAGTTCTTTAAGTGAAAAATACTGAACTAATAAAATTCTCACGAAAACAGTACTGAAACAACAACAATAACGAATCAAGCTAAAGTAGATTAAATATGTTTTTCAATGCAGATGAACATTATCTGGAAAATTAAGGAAGACTAGGGGCTACTGAACAGTTTTTTGTCCTTGTTAAGAAAAAACACAGCAAGACACTACAACTGAGCAAACTTCAGTTGTCGAACTTGGGGATTTGACATACAATTACTCATCCTACACTTAACGTCCTCAAAATAAATAAATTCATCACTATAAGATCTCTTATTTTTAAAAAGTTAGAACTTTGAAAACATTGATGTCACTTTCAGTCGATGTCTCAGTTTTCATAAAACCATAGATTGTCCCTAACAGAAATATCCGATAACGTTTTGAATGGAAATGGTTATCTACTAAAATTTATACTGATAATTACCAAAAAGGCATAAAAATAGGACAAAGATGGATAGTGGCTAGCAGTGGAATCCGGGTGGCGCGTTTCTTCCCATTTCGGGACTCATCATCTGGATTTACTTGCATCTCAGAGTTGATGTTTACTCTGGGACTTGAACTCAGTGCCGTTCGCTTCAAACGTCATCGCATGATCTACTTAGCCAGAGTCCAGATATCCACTAACTTGAGTGATGGGGTGAAGTTGAATTCAAACAACCAATATAAAAATGAATTAAAAATAGGACAGTTTACCATTGCTACTTGTTCCATAATATGTGCTAGTGGGAGATATGAGAGATGTACTGAATTAGAAGTGACAATCTGAAATAGAGAATATAAAAGAAAAACAAAATCGACCACTGGATAAGCATTACATTTTGTCTAGTTACACAAGTCTAATCTATTAGGAAGTGCATTATTTCCAGAAAATTCTACTCAAATCAGCCAAAAAAGGATTTTTAACGATCATCATAGGGATATTGTTGAACCAGAAGCGACAAAACCAACTCACATCTTGAATGACTAGTTCCCAAGGCTACATCCAGAAGTCCCATAAGTATCCACGTATTTTACACTTAACCTGTGGTATTGGTTGCTACGTTAAGCCCACATAGCTTATTCTAGCTTCTGGACAGGCTAATTTATCCATTTTTGACTTTGTTAATTATTCGCTTATTACCCTTGACTGTTTTTATGTAAGCAAATGTGTGTGCATTTCTTATCTTACTCATCACATGTCTGTAGCATATTTTTGTCTGACTATAAATATTGATTCACTCTTGGTTCGATTGAGTTGGCTCACACTTCTCCACTGCGCGTCATTTCGCGTCGCCCTCTTATCTTCTCCACTCGTTTTTCTCGATCAACGGTTGTATGAAATATACGTATTCAAAACCTCACTCTCGTATTTGACTAATTTAATCCCATTGTTCACTAACGTGAGTTAAGTCAATGACTATATACGAAGATAACCAGGATGTACATTTTGACAGCAATCATTTGATAACAATCAGAAACTATCTACCTGAATTCAGATCTCGGGCCACTAAAAACCATCCAGTTGGAGCAGGGAATAAATCTTTTGCCTTCTTATATCTTCCTGGTGGTTGAGGTTAAATGAAGAGTCGATTAGAGTTTGGTGCATATTTCGTTATAGTGTATTTGTGTTGCATTTACTCATCGCGTCAACTCTTGCACTGATGTTTAAATTGGTGTAGCCAGCATCAGTTTTAGCGTAAAACATGCTGGATTTTTAGCCTTTTCAATTGATACATATAACACAAACATAAAAATCAATATATCTATCTGAATCGTCGGAGACTATCGACTACCAAAGTGAAACCCACAGAAAAAGCTTAATTGCTTATCACTTTTACTTTACTGATAATATAAGGAATAAGACTGAAACAGCCAGAATATATTAATATCACTGAAACAAGTTACGTTTATTATTAAAGCGTCCAAGATTTGTATATTTGGATAACTAGCGTATTTAAGAAAATCCATTACTAATTAAACAGATAATATGCTAAAATGACACATTGGTTTACCTTGAATTCAGTGGATTCATGAAGCGAAATTGTGGAATGTGTAAGTTCTTTGTGCCTAATCAAAACTCCTTTGGGCAAACCTACATCAACAATAAGGGAGATTTTTAAAAGCGTTTTATTCTTGTATACAACACGAATACCTGACAACATGAAATATTTTGCCCTGATTGTGTCTGCTAAATAATAAAAAACCAAGAACTTTCTTACCAAGCTTAACAAATACAAATCCTTTACGGATTCAGTCAGTTATGTACAGTGTAGGACCTGTCACATATATCATGGTCCGAATTGCTATAGCATAGCAAGATGAAACCATCAAAATGTCATATTAGAAGTGTAGTAGACGCTACTCACAGGATTGTTTGTAAGTAGTATATAGCGGAACGTGGCATCGAATTTGTAACAATTGTCAAACCGAGTGAACAGTTTGCGTACATCGAAAGTGCGGTGTTGACCGAACACTTGGAGACCAAATGAGAAGACAATTCATATGGCAGAACAAACCGACAAACCCTGCTATCGCCTCAAACTGTCTGAGGAGGTAGCTCCCGATGTCTCCGTTTCAAACGGCTCTGGACGCGGCACTTTTATCTTGATCCTGGCAGCGACACCAAAAGTAAAGGCGATAGGCAGGAGGGATATATATCTGTTGTGAGAATTTACCATGTATTAACATTATAAATACACATAGTCTTTAATTGTCCATTTGCATCTTTCGGTGTGTTCTACCAACCCAGAGCTTTCGATGTACGCAAACTCTTCACTCGGTTTGACAATTGCTACAAATTCGATGCCACAATCCTGTGAGTAGCGTCCACTACAGTAGTAGTATCAGTGATAGTGAAAAACACTAAGCGTAAGGAATATATTAGAAAGGGATGAATTTGCTGAATAGAAGGTACAAAATCGTTTTGAAATTCAGGATCTAAGCGACACTAGAGAGTAAACATATATAAACTTACCTCCCATTAAAACTGCTTGAGTATCAATGACTTTAGGTATTGATATCATGTTTTAATTTGGTCGCTCCTAGCTTTCTTCCAATTTACCTGAAGCGTAGACAATAGCCCTCTTGAGGTAGGTGGTGGCTAGGCCTAAATAATACATGTCTTAATCGCCTCAGTAGATGGAGATTCGCTCAGCAGTCGCAAAAATAAGTAAGCAATGCTTCGGAGACGCCTATGGTCAAATAATAGTAACCTAAAAATCTTCGATCGACTTCTAAAACAATTCAGTTTGTACAGAGACAGAACGATCAACTTCTACTGAATTAGTTCCACACTTTCAATAAGGTGGTAGCCTGCATAACCAGATTATTTCTCTAACAACCAGCCCACTTTATGTACTTGCTTTCTATACACTTTGTTCTGACGGCTGTTTTGTATTCAGGCACTCACCCAATTCTGGACTCTATGGAGCGAAAGTTCATTGGTTAAACAGTTACGGACAGAAAAGAATGTTACAGTGATTTATCATTTTATCTGCCAATAGGGATAGATATTGTTAAAAAAAGGGAATCTACTAGAGATAAGTCACTTAGCTTGTTATGATTAGACGGGAAATGATTCCCTTACTGATGTTTAAGCGAGAAAAAGAATTTTTAGAAACACTGGTGTTTTGATTAGTAAAGTTAAAAATACATTCAAATTGACAAGCATATCGATATTTCAGTTACTTGAAATACAGTACAAATATATACTTACCAGTACTTCCACTAGTGTAGGAAATCATATAAAGGTCTGTTGGTAACGGGTTCTTTTAAAAGAAAAAGGAATAACTTACAATGTTTTTAAAAATGCAAAGATACATGTTTTCATCATCGATTATTGCAAAACATAACAATCTACGAACATTCCGATTACTAATATTTAATTACTACAGGATAAAAGGAACTGTTGTATTTAATATGCTGTCAATATATATATATATAGGTACATGAGATTGCTTTTACAAATCTACTGGGACAGATGTGTAGGATAACTGATCCCATACCGTAATTCGAAATATGTGAAGACTAGAGATGGATGTTTTATAATGACTACCCAATCCCGAAAATTCTCATAGGAAAGGAACGTCTGTTTGTTCAAACATGCTTTTCATTGCTTTAATATTAGCAGGGTCTGATGGTCTTTCGTGTCTATGAAACCTACAAACCGTACACGTTACATGCGAAAATTGCACTTTTATGCACGAAAAAGGAAGATATATTCAGCTATACATGAAACCATCAGATTAAATTTCATCTCGAAATGCATTTAATTTGTTGCTATGATTATAATATCATCTAAATGAACTGCAGCGCCTGAGGTATCCTATAACATGATGTCTATCATTTGGTGGAATATAGATGGTATGTTTTTCACTTTGAAAGGGTCCGGTTATATCGGAATAAACCTTGTGTGTATTATTGACTAGAAATTCTCTGTATTCTACAGCTACTGGAATTTGTAGGTAAGTTTCTGACAGATCAAAGTTTGCGGAAATTTACCTCCACCTAGCTTGGAGAAAAGATCTCCCAACAAAGGTAAGTGATGCGCTGATGGATTTCTAAAACTTTTCTGAGCACAGTTCAGCAATTGGTTTACAAAAAGATGCTGCAATTGAATTTTTTATCATGACTATTGATGCAGCTCATTCTGAGAAATTTACTGGTTCAATAACACCTTTCTGCATATGTTCTTGCTCACTTTTTGGCACGGTATGTCTTCAGTAGTAGGGAGCAAGTAGCTGTTTACCACGCGTTCCCAGAGGTAATATGTATCGACTCGACTTATCAGACCAACAAAGTTGGGTAAGTAACGAATCGCAATTAATTTATCTTACAGTTTTCCACTGTTCCAGCTAGTGGTGACTGATAGTCTGTGGCAATGGCACACTGTTATGTATGCTCTTTGCAAGCAAGAACGACGAGATGTCGTAAAACTATTGGGTGAAACTCTATTTTATGGACGACCTTTGAACGTACGTTTAAGTGACCTTGAGAACATTAGCCAATCAGAAGAGAGTTGGTACAGAGTAAAGATATATTATGAAAAACGGATGAATTACTATGGATATTCTTCTTTCACATGATTTAGGAACTTGTTAAGGTTTGATAAAGGTTCAGAAGTTCTGAAATCATAATGCATGCTGTATAGGAACTCGTCCATATGGCTCCATATTAATCGTCCTCTGGAACCGTGGTAGGGTCTTAAAAATACTTCAGCCTAGACCACATGCCTTCAATATTGTTTGTATGAACCCCCGTCATTGGATCGACAAAATGACGTATATTCACTGAAGTGTTACTTACCCAGTCTTCCTTGATAAAACGTCCTTTGTTGTATTTTCGCATTCTAATTACTGTCTCATCTATTTCCACTATCATTCCAACTCCTCCAAACGATTCATGTACTTGTGATCGCGCAAAGAAAGTGGCAGTTCGAGCATATTTTTTTCTCCAACATATAGTAAAACGAAATACAATATCATCACGGTAGTCTGCACATCGTGCTGCAGTCATTTGATTGCCGCAGTTACAGACACAGGAACTTCCTAATAGTCCTATCTGTTATAGTCGCTCAACAATCACCTCTTCTCTGAAATCTGCTGTAAAACGGTCGAATGTGAGCATCTAGAATCGAACTTAGCGCCGTGACCTTGAACTTCCTCAAACGCCTCTGATTGGCTCGTCCATAAATTAGAGTCCTACCAACTATTGGAATGCTTCAAAGATATAATGTGCTGTACTTATGTTACACACACTTTTGTTATGTAGTCGGCAGCAACCGAAATTTCAGCAGTGCAGTCTACGCACAGTCATGCCGACATAGTACTTTGTTCATTCCATGTCTTTAGTGCATTTTTCAGGAAGGTAAGTGTTAGCTGTTCAAATTATTTTCTGTAGTTCCGAAATCCTGATGTACGCAAATGCTTGGAACACCTTGTAAAGACTAGACGGTCTGATACACGAGCTTCGTTTTTCGTAACGCATTATATTAACTTTACTCAAAAGTACGAACATCTGAGGATCCATTTCCCACGGGCGTATGATTACATCAAAGATTACTGGATTGCCCGGAAGTCAATGTGGGCCCGTTTTTACCGGCGACATGTATTAAGCCTGGGTAACCACACGAACAACCGTGTCGCAAGTGCTCATAAACATCTAAAAGAATGTCTTAGAAGAGGTGATTCTCTGCTATTGACGCTCTGGAAAATTTAGAGCAAAACAGATACTGACCTACGTTTGCGTCCATATGACGCTGTGAAGGATCTTCAACGTTTTCCAATTGTTGAGGTAAGAAATATAGTTAAATGTTTCATTAGTTCCAGGTTCCTATGTCATTTCGAACTCTTTGAAATGAGTTCACATCTTTTGCAGCTAAAATTGTAGCTGTAAATTATAAACGTGTTAGGTCAATGAGACACGAATGTATAGCAGGGGAATACATCCGGTGCTACGACAAGGGTATGATGTATGTTGGTACTTCACGTGCACGATGTGCTTGTGAGCGTTTCAATGACTACATGCTGCCCTGTGGTCATATTCTGTATGCACATTCTAAAGATCTAATAATTGGAGGTAAGTGTGTGTTCCTTTGTCTCTATAAGCATTGTAGACTTATTTCGACATAGCAGCCGGTGGACAAGGAAATATATAATGGACTTGGTTCTTCGTGCGATGGACAACATGTCAATCTCTACCGGGAGTGATGATCTGCTAGAGAAGTTCACTAACAACTACCACTCAATCCATGCTCTTAGTGAACCCTTGGCAAGTAAACTCATCCGTTCATGCTTCGAAGCATCTGAAGACATATGCGCACAAGTGATGAGTTCAATCGGTGCTAATGATGAAGCTATATCGTCAGAATCCATTGTTAACAATGACCATAGCTATGCTTCTTGATGACAAGAAGTTCTAATATTGTAATCTTTTTAGTTTTACATAAATTTATTTATATGGGCATTAACTCATTCTTATAGCGTTACGGTAGGGAGAGTGTACTGTGAAGTCTTATGTCGCTGTGAAAAAGGGATGTTGTTTCGCGTTCTTGTGTAATAATTACCAGTTTAGCGCACACGCGATTAGTTATACGCACTGTTTACCAAACACTGCAACTTTGAACATGATTTACTATACTACTAGGTCGAATTTTGACTTGTCACGATAGGTAAGCATTGCCGTAATTAAAACACTGATGCGCTTATTAAAGTTGAAATCCAACGAAAATGATCCATTAATGAATAACTTCCAGTTCTTAGGAATTGTTCCAATTAGGTCGGTGAACACTTGCGAAGCCAGCTGGAAATAAGATAGACAGGAAATAACTAGTACAATATAAATGTTTACCCAAAACTAATATAAAAAGAGAAACCAATATTCAATTACAAATCGAGAGTGCATTTGGTACATCACGCTTATTTGCTTTATATATATATATAAAGACTGCTATGTGAACTTACTTTGAATCGTCTTGTATAATCTGCAATTATTGGTGCCTTTTTTATTTTAGTCTCACGCAAGGTATAATTAATTGTCATTTACGGCATCAGCATATAAGCTAGCCAGGCCTTCGGTGATTTTCGAAGATCATTATATACGATCTCACACAATCTGGTCACCTGAGATCAAGATATCTTGATTACCCAATCGTACTTATTTCTGCTATTGGCTATCTTTGCAAGGATACCGGCAGCCTGAACATTGGAACTCTGTTCAGGAGATAATATACTAACTCTAAGCTAATTAGCTTTATAAAGCAATCTTAGCTTACTCTCCGGTAAAATCTCCACATAATTGTACCTCTCTCGCATGATTATGATTTATTTCCTGCAATATAATGATTTGGTAGCTTATATATCTAACTGTAGAAGGTGATATTAACATATTGGTATGTGTTATAACCATCTACAGCATATACATAATATTGACAACACTAAGAACAGCTGATGTTTTCACTATTAGCCTATGTCTGCCATAAAAGTCGAACAAAACAGTGGAAATCAGCCAAAATTGTAATACAGAAGGGAAAAACGATAAATCTTATCATGGTATCGTTAGTTGTAGCGCAGTTTTGGTAGCCTTGACGACAATACAATTTTTATGACAATATATGCTTAGATAATATCATTTCATATAAAAATAAACGATTTCTCTGATCTGTTTGTATAGTTAAGTAGAAATAATCGCCAGTCTGCGATGCAAATATGAAAACACTATTATAACACCACCTGATTAATGAATTTTCAAGGACTTCGCGATACCATGTAAAGCAAAATGAAAAAACCCCTTTTCACTTAATCATGAAGATGAAAAAAGATTTTTCAAATTTAATTATAATAAATTTCTAATTTAGGCTGTGCTCAAAGCAGAAATGAAGAAGTAGCACAAATAAGTGTCGCGATACCCCTGGAGCGCTGCCACCAACTCGTAATAATTCCTTTCATTGTTCCCGCCTTTCTTCATTAATCGGTATTTCCCAGCGTTAAATGTTGAATGCCTATTTTTCGTATTGTCTCGTGTTAGAGCCCAATGCCACTACAAGTAGTCGAACGCGTTGACAATTTCACTTATCTTGGAAGTCTGATCAGCCCTAATGGGTTGGTGTCTGACGAAATCTCAGCACGGATTCGAAAAGCTCGTTTGACCTTTGCCAATTTACGTCATCTATGGCGAAGGCGAGATATCCGTCTATCAATTAAGGGACGAGTATACTGCGCGGGAGTTCGTTCCGTCCTTCTATACG